TGTGAAAGTCGCTTAGTCATGTCTGACTCTTTGCGACCCCATGGACTTCTCCGGGCCCGAATACTAGAGTGGGTAGCCTTTCCCTTCTCCAAGGAATCCTCCCAACTCAGGGACTGAACCCAGGTCTCCCACATTGCAGGCGGATTCTTTACCAGCTGAGCTACCAGGAAGCCCAAGAATACTGGAATGGGTAGCCTACCCCTTCTCCAGCAGATCTTCCTGATCCAGGAATTGGACCAGGGTCTCCTGCATTGCAGGTGGATTCTTTACCAACAGCTATCAGGGAAGCTACATCAATATATGTAACAGGAAAGACTAACTTTCAGAATCTGCCACCCCTCATGGGAGCTGCTGGAAGGTTTAAGTCTCAATCATTACTTAATAAAACAGAAAGTCCATTCTACAATGAAACCATCCAAATGTGGCCCACTGTGAATATAAAATCTACAGCCAGTTAAAAAAACTGGTGGTTTCTACTAAAATTAAATATGTGCCAGTTCTAAGACACAGAAAGACCACTCCCTGGAATTGAGGGTAATGCCTACCATTACTATTGAGGGTGATGTTCAAGAATCTTCAAGCCAGTGTTACACATAATAGGCCAAAACTGAAATCAACCATCAAAAGGATAATAGATATAAACTGCCAACAAGTCACATGGTAAAATGCTCCACAGCAGGGGCTGGCAAACTATGCACCACATTTGGCCTGCCACCTCCTTTTATAAGCCCTGGGAACTAAGAATAGCTTTTCTTTTTCATGGTTGAAAAAAAAAAAAGAAATCAAAATAAGAATGGCATTTCATGACACTTGGAAATTATTGAAATCAAATTTCCAGGGGCCATAAATAAGGTTTCAGTGGAGCCCGGCCGTGCTTATTCATGCCTGCACTGTCTATGACTGCTTTCAGAGCAGCAGGAGAATTAAATAGTTATAACAGGGATCATGTGGCCTGCAAAACCAAAAAGATTTACTATCTGGTCTTGGGCAGAAAAGTGTGCCAGCTACTGCTATACAACACAAAAGGAAAGAACTACAATTATATAGAACCATATACAAGCAGATACAAAAGAGTACACATGGATCCCTATTTATCAAGTCCAGAACAGACAGAACTAGTCTATGATTAAATAAGTCAGAATGGTCCCTTCATGTGACTGTCAATGGCCAGGAAGGTGAACACGGAAGACTTTTGGGCCAGTGGGCATGATTTGGATCTGGAGGTGGATACTTAGTATAGAAATATGTAAAAAAATTACTAGGCTTCACCCGTATAATATGAGTCCTTGTTACTATAATATGCATGTTACAATTAAAAATTTTAAAGTGGAGGGGAGGGAAGTGAGAGGGGAAGAAAAGTGTCCATCTCCAAAGGTTTATAGAGAACTCAGAGGAAAACCAAACAAAAATGCTGAATAATCATAAAGACAGATAATAAAAAGTGTTGGCGAGGATGTGGAGGAACTGCAACCTTCACACAGGTGATGGGAACCTGAGATGGTGCAGTCAGGACTTCCTCAGTGGTCCAGTGGTTAAGAATCTGCCTGCCGATGCAGAGCATGTGGGTTTGATCCCTGGTTGGGGAGCTAAGCTCACATATGCCTCAGGGGGGCTACCGTCATGCGCCACCGCTACTGAGCCTGTGAGCTCCAGAGTACACATGCCACACCTAGAGAGAAGCCTGTGGGCCACAAGTATTTTTAAAAATATTTATTTAAGGGCTTCCCTGGTGGCCCAGATGGCAAAGAATCTGCCTGCAATGCAGGAGCCCCAGGTTCAGTCCCTGGGTTGGGAAGATCCCCTGGAGAAGGGAACGGCAATCCACTCCAGTATTCTTGCCTAAAGAATTCCATGGACTGAGGAGCCTGGTGGGCTCCTCAGTCCATGGGGTTGCAAAGAATTGGACATGACTGAGCGACTAACACACACACACATATTTTTTTAAAAGATCAATTTGAAAAAAATAAAATTGTGTAGGCACTTTGGATAACAGTGGTTTTTTTTTTTTTGGCTGCACTGGATCTTGGTTGAGGCATGTGAACTCTTAGTTACAGCATGTGGGATTTAGGTCCTTGACTAGGGATTGAACCTGTGCCCTCTGCATTGGGAATGCAGAGTGTTAGCCAGTGGACCACCAGGAAGCCCTGGGTAACAGTTTCTGATAACAATTTCTCAAACCGTTAAACAGAGTTAGCATATGATCCAGCAATTCCATCCCATGTATACACCCGAGAGAGATGAAAACACACACCCACACAAAACTTGTACGTGAATATTCATAGCAGCATCATTCATAATACCCTCAACATGGAGACAGTTTAACTGTCCGTCAACTGATGAATAAATAAAATGCGATATATCCATACAATGGAATATTATTCAGTAATAAAAAGAAATACTGGATACACGTTACAATATAGATGAACCTTGAAAAATTATGGTAAGTGTTACAGTCACAAAGACCACATATTATATGTACCACATATTATGCCAATATGTATATATACCACATATTATACCACTTCTATGAAATATCCAGAATAAGCAAATCTGTAGAGACTGAAAGCAGATTAGTGGTTGCCTACAGCCATGGGAGTGAAAGAAGAACACACTGGGGTGACAGCTAAGGGGTGTAGCATCTTCTTTCTGGAGTGATGAAAATATTCTAATATGAACTGTGGTGAAGGATGCGCAGCTCTGAATATACTAGGTCATTGAATACGTATTTTAAATGGGTGAACTGATACTAACGCATATATATGGAATTTAGAAAGATGGTAACGATAACCCTATATGCAAGACAGAAAAAGAGACACAGATGTATAGAACAGACTTTTGGACTCTGTGGGAGAAGGCGAGGGTGGGATGTTCTGAGAGAACAGCATTGAAACAAGTATATTATCAAGTGTGAAACAGATCACCAGTCCAGATTGGATGCATGAGACAAGTGCTCAGGGCTGGTGCACTGGGATGACCCAGAGGGAGGGGATGGGGAGGGAGGTGGGAGGGGGGTTCAGGATGGGGAACACCTGTAAATCCATGGCTGATTCATGTCAATGTATGGCAAAAACCACTACAATATTGTAAAGTAATTGGCCTCCAACTAATAATAAATAAATAAATGGGTGAACTGGATGGTATGTGAACTATATCAATAAAGCTGCTAAAAAAAAACAAACAAAAAACACTAAGAGTTCCCTGGTGGCCCAGTGGTTTGGACTCCATGCTTCCACTGCTGTGAAAAGTGAAAGTGAAAGTGACTCAGTTGTGTCCGATTCTTTTTGACTCCAAGTCAGAATACTGGAGTGGGTAGCCTTTCCCTTCTCCAGGGGATCTTCCCAACCCAGGGATGGAACCCAGGTCTCCCACATTGCAGGCAGATTCTTTACCAGCTGAGTCACAAGGGAAGCCCAGGGCTGTGGCCCCAGTTTAATCCCTGATCAGGGAACTAAGATCCTGCAAGCTGCTCCACACAACCAAAAAAAGAAAAGCACTAAAACTGTCTTCCATAGCTAAACCCTTCCACACTGATTAACTGAAAATTAATCACTCATCCAATATAACAAAGGACTCACCTTGACACATAACTCCAACTGTTTCTAACTCCTCTAATGCTTATTAGCACCTGCCTATTAAATACAGTGTACAAAAATAAAATAAAATAAATAAATACAGTGTACATAAATGTCTGATGCATTTTCTTTTTACTTCCTTCCAGGAAAAGACTTGAAATAAGGAGGCTGTAACCAGCGGAGCCTCTGATCCCAAATTAGGAGTCTGGGGTTAACATACACACTACTATATAGAAAATAGATAACCAACAAAGACCTACTGTATAGCACAGGGAACCCTACTCAATATTTTGTCATAACTTGATACGGGAAAAGAATCTGAAAAAGAATGGGTAACTGAATCACTTTGCGTACACCTGAAACTAACACAACACTGTAAATCAACTAAACGCCAATATAAAATAAAAATCAAATTTAAAAAATAACAATAAACCTTCTGATCCCACACACAGACCTCATTTCCACAAAATCCTCTGACTTGGATAAACTGACCTCGTTCAGCAAAACCTGGGGGCAAAGTGCTCACCCTGTCACCTAAAATTCTGTCTACAAAGCCAGCCAAACTCTCTTCAGTCTTTAGCAACTCTGATCAGAAAAGAGTTCTGCCAGCTGTTTCCCCTTCCCCCTGAGGGCAACTCCCCCTAACACCCTCCTCTCCCATCATATTGCCCTGGGTTGAAATTCTGGCCGAACCCTGCAGATTTTGCTCATAGCAAAGAAAGGAGGTAGGAACCTTCAGACCATTGTTGTGTGAGGCAACACCGATCTGGGGTTAGGGTGATGCAAACAGGCTCCTAAAGGGACACAACATTTAAGGAGGCGCCCACTCGAAGGTGCCAGCCCTGCCATTGCACAACCATGAGAATGAGCGCTTCCTTAAATGTTGCACCCTAGGCACCTCTCTCGCCTCACCCTTGTTAGTCCTGGCTCTGGGCTACTGGTTGCACCTTCTTCCATCAGTGATTCTCGGAAGACAGGGCTGGGTCTCTCCCTCAACGGAAACCTTGGAATTCCAGCTCTCAGTCAAATATTATGAGACTCCAAGGCCAAACTCCAGGAGTTGATGGATAGACAGGCCTGGCCTGCTGCTATCCATGGAGTCCCAGTCCAAGAGTCGGACACGACTGAGCAACTGAGCTGAACTGAAGGTCAAAGGAGTTGTCCCAAGGTTACAGAAAACTCATTAAGTGTTGTTGACTTAAGGGGCTCAGTCAGAGACACACCTGCCAGAGACTCTTGGCCCACTTTTCCACCTGGGTTTACGGCGCCCTCCTCCCAGAGACAGAAACTCAGGGATCAGGAACTCAGGCCTGGCGGCCCCTCCTACCCCAGATCCCAGAAGCCCAGGCCTCCACCCCACCCCACCCCGCTTCCCTTTAGCCCAAGATGTCCAGGCCACCACCCTCTTAGACCCAGCATCCAACTCACGAAGCGCCCGAACTGGATGGAGTCTCCATCCTCAATGTGCCAGTCAGCCTGGGCCCCGCTAAGGCGGGAGATGACAGACTGGCAGCCGGGAAGTAGGGACCGGAGGAGCCCGGAGCCGGTAATGTGGTCCGCGTGGCAGTGGGTATTCACTGGGAGAGAGAGGAGGGCCAGGTCCGGGAGGGCACAGAGAGGACCCGGGATTCCAAGCCCCCAGCCCCCCAGCCCGCCCCCGCCCGCCCTGAGACCCAGGAGTCCGGGTCTCCGGCTTCCAGCTCCAAGCTACGGCCCCGCGCCCTCAGGCCCCAGGAGCTCCACACTGACCCGCATACAGCAGCCGCAGCCCCAGCTCCTTGACCAACTGGGCATCTCGCTGCGCTGTCTCCAGAACCGGGTCGATCAGAACCGCCTCTCGGGACTCTCGGTCCCCCAGAAGATAAGTATAGGTGCAGCTCTTGGGCTCAAACATCTGGGAAGGGAGGCGGGTACAGCTGAGAGCGCAGAATCGGACTTCCACTCATTGCGGACCCAGGAGTCCAGACCTCAACTCTATTGTCTTCCTAAGATCCCGGCCCAGAAACTCCAGACCCGTTTTACTCCAGGAGTCAGGAGTCTGGGACCCCTGCACCTCACTCTGTCTAAACCGATGAATCCCAACATCCGTCCGTCCCCAAATCCGGGTCCCCATCACCCATTCTGAAATAGAAGCAGGATTCCGGCCCCCAACCCGGGGGATTCCAGAACCGCCCCACCACCACCACCACCACCACCACCTTTAAAGGACGCAAGAGTCTAGCCCCACACCCTTTCTTCAAAGAGCCAGGATTGGGGCCAGGGTCTCTCTCCGGATTTAAAGGACCCAGGAGTTCCGCCCTTGCACCCGCTCAGGACCCAGTAATCTCGCTCCCGGGTCCAGCCACAGCGAACCTGCCGTAGGAGAACGGGGGCTCCAGACCCTGTGTGTTGACTGAGCCGTCGGCCGGCGACCCTCAATGCAGACCCCGCCATCGTGCCCGAAGCAGACTGGGGACGGAGCGGAGGACGAATGCCCGCGGAAGCCTGGTGCTCCGCAGGCTGACCCCGGGAGGGGCGGAGCGGGGCGGGGCCCGCCTTAAAGGAGCCGCGACTGCACGGACCGAGGGCGGGGCTGAGCAGAAGGAGGCTGGTGAGTTTGGAACGACTGAAAAGAAGAGACAGTAAGACCCAGAGAAACAAAGACCAGTCACCTCACACTGGCCTGAATGGCCATCATCAAAAAAGTCTGTGAACAATAAATGATAGAAAAGGGAACCCTCCTACATTGTTGGAAGAGTTACAACCACTATGTGGAGAACAGTATAAAGGGTCCTCAAAATGAAGTGACAAGCACTTCTTTTATGATAACATAATATGGAGTCAAATTAGCACTATAGTTAAAAGTCACAGTGTAAGACGTAAATCTGTAAGCATTCTTTAAGATGGGTGGTGAGTTGGAAGATTCAGATGGAATCCACTGCCTCTAAGAATAAAGGAGGGTATCAAGATTGGAGGGAGAAGAGCCAATTTGGGAGAGACATACATGTGGCAAAAAAAAAAAAAAAAAGCATCTGCCTACAATGTGGGAGACCTGGATTCGATCCCTGGGTCGGAAGATCCCCTGGAGAAAGAAATGGCAACCCACTCCAGTACTCTTGCATGCAAACTCCCGTGGACAGAGGAGCCTGGTAGGGTACAGTCCATGGGGTCACAAAGAGTGGGACATGACTGAACGACTTCACTTCACTTCTTCACTTCAAAAAAATAAATAAATAAAAATGAACTACCATATGATCCAGTATTCCCCCTCCAGGGGCATATATTCAGAGAAAACCACAATTTGAAAAGATACATGCACTCCAATATACACTGCAGCACCGTTTACAGCAGCCAAAACAGGAAGTAATCTAAATGTCCATCAGCTGGGGGAATGGACAAAGAAAATGTGGTACATAAATAAAAGGGAATATTACTCAACCATAAAAAATGAAATGATGCAATTTGCAGCAACATGAATAGACCTAGAGATTATCATACTACGTGAAGTAAGTCAGAGAGAAAGACAAATATCATGTGCTATCACTTATATGTGGAATCTTAGAAAACGATACAAATGAACTTATTTACAAAACAGAAACAGAGTCACAGACTTTGAAAACAAATGTATGCTTACCAAAGGGGAAAGGTTGAGGGGAGGGATAAATTAGGGATTAACATACACACACTACTACATATAAAATAGATAAACAGTCCTACTGTATAGCACAGGGAACTCTACTCAATATTCTGTGATAACCTATGTAAGAGAAGAATCTGGAAGGAATGGATGTATGTATCTGTGTAAATGAATCACTTTGCTGTGTGCCTGAAACTAACACAACATTGTAAATCAACTATACTCCAATATAAAATAAAAATTAAATTTTTTAAAAATCAGAAAAACAAAACACCGGGAGATACTCAAAGGTCAAGGGAGGTACACTGGGAGAAGCACAGCCTTCCTTCTCTGGAGAAGTAGAAATCCAATAAGAGACCCCAATACACTCATAGCTCTGGGGCCATTTTATAGGAAAACCAGGCGGTTGGACACTCATTTTTAGAAAAAAAAAAGTTTGGTTCAATGTCATTAGTGTCCCGAGGGGCTGTTGGGTGGGTGCCTGGTTCCAGAACAACATATTATCCAATTAAAGTTTATTTAAAATTCGCTTAAGTATTTTATCAGGAATGTTTATCTCTTCCCAGGAAAAAATCATTTAAAAAATAATTTTCCAGAATTTCCTGGCCGTTCAGTGGTTAAGACTTGGCACTTTCACTACTGACAGGTCTAAGATCCCACAAGCCATTGCTGTTGCTAAGTCGCTTCAGTCGTGTCCGACTTTGTGCAACCCCACAGACGGCAGCCCACCAGGCTCCCCCGTCCCTGGGATTCTCCAGGAAAGAATATTGGAGTGGGTTGCCATTTCCTTCTCCAATGCATGGAAGTGAAAAGTAAAAGTGAAGTCGTTCAGTCGTGTCCGACTCTTAGCGACGACCCCATGGACTGCAGCCTACCAGGCTCCTCCATCCATGAGATTTTCCAGGCAAGAATACTGGAGTGGGTTGCCATTTCCTTCCCCAGGGGATCTTCCCCACCCAGGGATCAAATCCTCATCTCTTAGTCTCCTGCATTGGCAGGCAGGTTCTTTACCACTAGTGCCACCTAGAAAGCCCCAAATAAATAAATAATTTTCCATGATGCTTTGCAAAATTGGGTTGGGAATCATTTGACTTCTTTTGGAATGTGAACCTCTAAAAATGGCTTTTGTTCATTTACACCAAGGACCTAGAGTTGAAACACATCTAGTCATGGGCAGTCTGAAACTTTGCTCTTTGGAATCATATCAATAGCGAGAATAGGGCACTGCACCCTCACTTAGAGGGTCTAAATCACTTGGTCACAGATTCAGAGGTCAACTGCATCACATCATTTTATATGAGGTACATTAGCATTCCCCATTCTAGTAGCCAAGAGGGGTCCTGGAACTAACCACTCCCACCCCATCCCGTGGATACTGAATTCACGTTCATGCTCAGTAGTTTCAATCCGACTCTTCATGACCCCGTGGACTTTAGCCCACCAGGTTCCTCTATCAATGGGATTCTCCAGGTAAGAATACTGGAGTAGGTGGCCAAGCCCTCCTCCAGGGGAACTTTCCAACCCAGGGATCGAACCAGCATCTTCTGTGTCTCCAGGATTGCAGGCGGGTTCTTTACTGCTGAGCCACTAATTCTGTGGATGCTGAGGGATGACTGTAATTCTCCCTGTGATTGGGGAGACAGTCAGTGCTCCCTCTTTGGTCCTCTCCCCTTAGCAAACTTTGCTAGACTCCTAGTGTGTTTCTGATGGACTTTATGAGGGGAGAGACTCAGAGACAAGGAAGATGCTGAGACTCAGTGATACTGAGAGAGAGAGAGATCTGGAGAGTTTCAGAGATACATGGAGAGGCATAGAGTTGAAATGGGCTGTGGGTCAAAAGGAATATGGTCACAAAGATATACCTGGAGGGACTTTACTGGCTGTCCAGGGGTTAGGACTCTGTGCTTCTACTGCAGGGGGCACAGGTTTGATCCCTGGTCAGGCTCAGTTGGTAAAGAATCCGCCTGCAATGTGGGAGACCTGGGTTTGATTCCTGAGTTGGGAAGATTCCCTGGAGAAGGAAAAGGCAACCTACTCCAGTATTCCGGCCTGGAGAATTCCATGGACTGTATAGTTCCTGAGGTTGCAAAGAGTCAGACACGACTGAGCGACTTTCACTTTTGTTTTCTCTCAGGGAATAAGATCATGCATGCAACATGGCACAGCCAAAACAAAACAAAACAAAACAAGACATACTTGGAGATTCTAGAAGACTGTGGAGATGGGAAGAGATGTGGGGAGCAGGGAACATTAGAGCAGGGAGAAAGGTATAGGAAGGATCCTGTCAGAACAGGGAAACACCCAGAGAAGGGAGAAACAGGCAAAAAGACAGGCTCAGACTCAAAGAGAGAACTTGGTTCAGTTATCCTCACATTGAGGTGTCCTGAAGGTTTGGCTCTAGCTGGGTGAAGTTGGAGATGCAGAGGTGAGTCCTCAGTCTGGTTGGTGGGGAAAGAGGAGCAGACATCAGGCTTAAAACAACAAGAGGTGCAGGGATGGCCAGGCGCTCGGGGGAGAGAGAGGTCAGGAAAGCAGGGGCCCTCAGACACTTTACTGTGAGGATCCCCCAAATAAAACCTCCTCAGCCCTGGGGCCCATTCCTAACTGTTCTTGCAGGATCTCTAGACTGTTACCTGTCCCTTGAAGGAATGCATGCTCTCTGGAGGTTTTATAAAGTTAGCTGTGAGGCGTCCTAAGAGTTAGAAACTAGCATCACTCTCCCCAGCTGCTGACCTCAGGCTCAAAACTTAACCTCTTCTGCGCTTCTGTTTTCTCATCTGTAAATTGTGGCTGAAAATAGTTCCTCCCTCACTGTAAAGTTCTAAGAAAAGATAACAAGCATTCCAATGTTCACAGCAGCATTATTTACAATTGCCAGCATATGGAAGCCACCTGTGTACAGCCACAGAGGAATGGGTAAGGAAGATGTGGTGTATATATACAATGGAATACTACTCAGCCATAAAAAAGAACGAAATTTTGCTGTTTGTAGCAACATGGATGGACTTGAAGGGCATTCTGCTAAGTGAAATAAATTAGACAGAAAAAGGCAAATACTGCATGATATCACTTATATGTGGAATCTAAAAAAATACAACAAGCTACTGAATATAACAACAACAACAAAAAGAAGCAGCAGCAGACTCACAGATAAGTACAAACTAGCGGTTACCAGTGGGGAGCAAGAAGTGGGGAGGGGCATTACATGGGTAGAGGATTAAGAGGTATAAACTATCAGGTGTAAAATAAGCTACAAGGATATATTGTGCAAATGGGGAATATAGCCAATATTTCATAATAACTATAAATGGAATATAACCTTTATATTCAATAAACTGAGTCATCAGACTATACACTTGTAATTTATATACTATTGTCAGCAACTATATTTCAATTTAGAAAAAAATCAAATGAGTGCATGCTTGCAAAAAGTTTGGCAGATCACGTGGCACGGAACAATTTCTAGGTGTTGTGCTCCCAGGGAGGTGGCTCTCCTTATTTCATCATCATCCTTGACTCCTTCCTCCTTTTACTACTTCCTTTCCATTCATTACTAAGCCCTGTTGAATTAACCTCTCCAATCAGATCACTTTTCCATCATCATGCCCTCTGCCCCAGTCACAGAGGCAGCAAAGCAAGAACATAAATTACATGGATTCCAGGCTTAGGCTGCAAGGGTTCAAACCTTGGCCCTGCTTCTTTCTGCTTGAATAAGTCGTAGTGCCTCTTTTTTTTTTTTTTTTTTTGGCTGTTCTGGGTCTTAGTTGCAGTATACAGTATCTTTAGTTGTGGCATGCAGACTCTTAGTTGCAGCACATGGGATCTAGTTCCCTGACCAGGGTTTGAACCTGAGCCTTCTGCATTGGGAGCATGGTGTTGAAGCCACA